TGAGGGGCGGGCTTACGATGACTGTAATGAGGGGCGGGCTTACGATGACTGCAAACGGGCAGTGTGCGCGTGCGCACACCGGCCTGTTCGCCAGTTGTCGAACCAGCAGGCCACTGACTCACCGAGAATCGTACGATTCCCGGCAGGTTTTCTAGCCTGCTGGTTCGACGGAAGACGTGCGACCGTACAGTAGAAACGGTCGCACGCCTTCCATGCACTGCACGATTTTCGTACGATCGCGGGATTTCCTGCGATTCTCGTACGAGAATTGTGCAGTGTATGGGCACCTTTTAGACTCTGCTCCTTTTCAGTTTGAGTACAGTTAATAGAAACACCTGAAAAGTGATGGTTTCTGTATTTGGTTGTATGTGAAAAAACTATGATCCATATGAATTGTCAGCTTAGTCATGTTTAACTTTATATACACTGGTACACCAGCGATGTGCTACTATGTAACCACATTTAATGCACATTTTTTTGCCTTTTTGTTTTTGTAGAGTCATTGCCTACTGTTAAGCATGTGGCAGTATGACTGCAAAAAAAAAATTAAAATGCAGACAATTTTTTAATAACGGGTAGTTGTGGGTTTTTTTTTGTGCTTATAGTACTTTTTTTCATATCATCCACTTAGGGCTTGCAATTTCTATCCAAGATGATAGCTGACAAACAAATCTCTGTTCAGCACAAAACAGTCTACAAAGATGGAACGATCGTTGTTCAGGTTTTGCTCGATAACATTGATGTTGGAGAGGAGGTGGCAAAAAAAGGTTTTGCAGAGAGATGCAAGTTGCTAAACTCTCCAAATGGCACCAGGGAAACGCACGAAGTTCTTCCAAACCATGAAAAAAGCCTCTTTTCATGGCCTGTCAGGATTGTAGAGAGACTCCCTCAGCGTGAGCCAAAGTCCTTGCCTGTAATTAACCAATATGTCCCTGAACAGAAAGTATCTGAACAACAGGGAAACCATGGAAGGAGCACATTTCAAGCAGTAAGGTAATCCAAGCGTTTTCTGCTATTCATTTTACCAGCAGTTTGTATCTATTATTTTTTTTAATCTTTTTGGTCATTTTGGTTTAGGTTGTCTAATGAATTTAATGGCTTGAAAATTGACCAGATGAGTTTGGATGAGAATAAGCAACTAAGGGACGAGAAGGAGAGCTTGATGCAAAAGTTGAAAACCCTAGAATTGCATGTGCAGAAGGTTAATCTTGATATAAAGGTACATTTACATATCACACTAATGTTTGTTTTGTTGGTCTATTATATTTGGCGATGATAAGTTGCCTTTATGTATAAACTGCCCTGGAACATTGCCACATAGATTTGTGGTGTAAAAGGCCCTAGAATTTTATATAAGCCCTAAGAGTTTAACTTTTATAAAGTTGTGCTTAGACAATTTAAAGTCAGTAATGCTCGGTTGGTGGCTAGAGCTTAAGCTTTAAGGAAGCTCTTTATGGTTTTAAGTTCTTAGAGGCTGTCCCATATGCTCAGTTTCACTTCAGAATGTTGCAGCTCAATGTTCTAGCTGCATGGGACAAACCGATCCAGTCCCTGGCCCTCCCCATTAGCTTGTTCTGGAAGACGAGGCTTGCCTTTAGTGTGGTGAATCTCCAACTAAGTGCTGGAATCGGAAGTCTTAAGACGTCCTGCCCCTCCCCCCGCTCATGTAAGAGGTAATTCCATTTTCTTAAATTCACCTGGCAATGTGGAATTACACTTTAATGGCATGGCTGTTGGGAGGGATAGAAACATGCCAGTATCGGTGATGTCCATGAAAAAATTATTTCAAAAGCAAAACGTGTCCCTCACCTAAGGATACTGACGGAAAACTAGGGATTTCCTGGAGTGGTAGGGGTTATATAAGATCACAGCTTCTGGCCAGTGTCCAGTCACCAGATAACTGCATATTACCCAGCCGTCTATAAATTTCCTGTGTACTGTAAGATCAAGAAAAATGTAGTTGTGTATGTATACATTTTGCATTGGTTATTTAGGTTTACCTCTTCTTCTGTTTCTTTTGTCTTAAAGAAAGAGAGAGAACTCTCTGAGCAAACAATTCTTGGACTTGAATTAAGCTTGAAATCTGCAGCAGGAACCAAATTAAATGTCTTAACAAATAAGATTGCCGAATTGAGAACTCTTAGGTGAGATGCTTTTGTATTAATTTGTGTGATTGTAAAGTGCACTTTTAAATTAATACATATTATATAGACTATATTGCCATAAGTATTGGGACGCCTGCCTTTACACGCACATGAACTAGAATGGCATCCCAGTCTTAGTCTGTAGGGTTCAATATTGAGTTGGCCCGCCCTTTGCAGCTATAACAGCTTCAACTCTTCTGGGAAGGCGTCCACAAGGTTTAGGAGTGTGTCTATGGGAATGTTTGACCATTCCTCCAGAAGTGCATTTGTGAGGTCAGGTACTGATGTTGGACGAGAAGGCCGGGCTCGCAGTCTCCGCTCGAATTCATTCCAAAGGTGTTCTATCGGGTTGAGGTCAGGACTCTGTGCAGACCAGTCAAGTTCCTCCACCCCAAACTCCCTCATCCATGTCTTTATGGAACTTGCTTTGTGCACCATGCTGCTGAGCCGATGTGCTCAGCTTTGTGTGCAGCCATGCTGGAACAGGAAGGGGCCATCCCCAAACTGTTCCCACAAAGTTGGGAGCATGAAATTGTTCAAAATGTCTTGGTATGCTGATGCGTTCAGAGTTCCCTTCACTGGAACTAAGGGGCCAAGCCCAACCCCTGAACAACAACCCCACACCATAATCCCCCCTCCACCAAACTTTACACTTGGCACAATGCAGTCAGGCAAGTACAGTCAGTCAGACAGAGAAGCGTGATTCGTCACTCCAAAGAACACGTCTCCACTTCTCTAGAGTCCAGTGGCGGCGTACTTTACACCACTGCATCCGACGCTTTGGTGATGTAAGGCTTGGATGCAGCTGCTCGGCTATGGAAACTCATTCCATGAAGCTCTCTACGCACTGTTGTTGTTCCAGTCTGAAGGCCACAGGAAGTTTGGAGGTCTAACTATTGACTCTGCAGACAGTTGGCAACTTCTGCGCACTGTGTGCTTCAGCATGTGCTGACCCCGCTCTGTCATTTTACATGGCCTGTTGTTCCCAGTTGCTTCCACTTTGTTATAATACCACTGAGGCCCCATTCACACTGCACAATTTGCAAATCGCGCAATTTGCATTTTGCGCGATATCGCGCAAATGCTTGCATTGAGCAAGCTTGAATCGCGGCTAAATCCGCTCCAAAAAGGGTCCTGCTGTAGCGACCCGCGACAGCAGGACCCTTTGCCCCATTAAGAAGCATTGGAGAGTGATATCGCGGGAATTACCGCACGATAAATCGCTAAGTGTGAACGGGGCCTAACAGGTGACCGTGGAATATTTAGTAGCCAGGATATTTCATGGAACACCTGAATTAAATGATTTGGACGGTTGTCCCAATACTTTTGGCAATATAGTGTATGTAGGCCGAATGTGTGACTTGGTGTATTTCTACTTTCTTGCCAAATTCAGATAAAACCCATTTATACTAGTTACATGTTTCTCATTCACATAGCATAACTTAAAAAAATTGCTGCTTGCAAGAAACAATGCTCAAGTCTGGAATGCAAGTCTGGGTGGGTAGTGTTTACTGTAATTAACCCCATCTTTACTGTTTTGGCACATCTTATCAGTTGTAAACTAGATTTAAACATGGTCTGTCCAATCAAAGGGTTAAAAGATCTTGAAGTCTTGTAAATTAATTAGGGGGGAGCTTAGTCTGTCAAGTCTTTCTGTGAGTGACAGACAATTTCCTTTTACTGAAATCGAGAGAGAACCTAGCAAAGGCCTGCTAAATAGAGATATCTAAAAGGTAAGAAATATTTTCTAAAAACATTTTTTTAGATATACTGTGTGAATAAGAACCCATAACGATCATAGAATGGGACTTCTCATTTTTTATTTCAAATGTGCAAGTACACTTTAAACATGGTAGGTCAATGTGTGAAACTTATCAGGTCCCACCACCTGCAATTCAACCACTTTAGTACTGGAACGTTTTTTATTTTTTTGTTTTTTATTTTTTTGGATGGGAAATTACTCCAATCTTTTCCTGAAAGTAAAAGCCCTGTAGAGGGAAAAAAAATTATAGTTGAATTTTGTTTTATTCTGCACAATATTTGCGGTTGTACAGCCACCAAGGTCACTGAACAAGCTTTGCCTGCTGAAAAAAATTAGTTATCAAGATCATGGCTGCAGTAGCAGCTATAATCTTGGTATAACCACGAGAGGACCAGGACATACAAGTATGTCTTATGGTCCTGAAGTAGTTACCTACAGACAGCTCACTCCAACAGCCAGACTTCCTGCACTGCTCCAAATAAGCCGTTCTTGGGAATTCACCTGGGAAAGTGAAATTGTTGGCTTGAAACATCCTGATCTGGTATTTTTTCTAGGCCGAGGTATGGTGTGCACTTGTTAAATGTCAAGGAAGAACTCTTGATTGTTTAGTGTTCTCCCTTTGAAAAACCATGACTCGTGTTTTCTTTGAGTTGATGGGTAGTGCCCATGTTGCACTGTGTTCTCCAGCACTTTCAGGATTGGAGAGACTTTACAGTCTTGTGGGCCTCCCTCTGTTGGGGATGACATGCGGTCATATGCATACAACAGGAAGTTAAACTCCGCGTCATGTAGAGGAGGGTTCTAGTTTTTCAGCCAGTTTAATGAAGTATATGTTGGCCTGGCAGGTGTACTGTTCTTTTTCCTATTCATCTTTACACTGCAGGTGTTCTCTGTTTATGAGCTCTTGATGACATCATATGCTGGATCAGATGTTATTACATGCCGGACCCTCACCTTGGCATTTTGTTCAGCATGTGCAGTTGCTGCAGGACGCCATACAGCTCTAGCGCTGTGTTCTATTTTGGTGTAATCCTGTCCCTGAAGATCCTATTTGGTGGGGTATGCTAACTGGGAGGGAGGGGATTTGGATGGGGCAGTCTCTGCCTATCTGAGGTTCAGGTAAGTCAAGGCTGGCCCCTGCTGGAGGTCTCCCTGTTCACGCTTTTTCCAAGTTTAACAAAGTGAGCGTTCAAACCTCAGCAAATGCTATCTGCGGCTGCAAAGTTCTTTTTAAGCCTCCTTCTGACCTGTGGACCCCTTTTGTTATAGTTCCTTATTGGCGTATGTTATGTTTTCTCATGGGCCTGTTTGCACTGTTGCCCGTCCCGCTAATGTGACTGCACATTTCATTTGTGCCAAGAATTAACTGTGTCTTGTGATTTACCATCAAGAAAACAGTATTTTTGTCTTACCTGTGAATTACATTTCTTGGAGTATATTGCTACAAAACCGAGGTAGGCTGGGAGTGGGAGGGTTTATACAGGGCTGCCCTAGCAGTTTAAAGTAACCTTAAAGGCAAAAATAAATTTCCCTCCCCCCAATGTAAATGTTAGCACTTACCTTAAATGATGTCTCTTTTTCCGATCTTCCTCTTCTTTCCCCATGTTTTCATCTGTCCCTCCAGCGGTGTGACGTCACTCCGATCCAGCGCTGACTGCTCTGTCTCTCCGATCCAGCGGTGTCTGCAGGCGGGTGCACGCGGCCATAGACATACCTTGCGTCTCTGCTCGTCCCCCGGCCGAGAATCGGAACTGCGCATGCGCCCGCCCCAAGATCCTTTGCGGCCGTACGAGCAGTTCCTGATTCTCGGCGCGGGAACGAGCGGCGATAATTGGGTAAGTTTAAAATGATTGTAAGCGGTTTTTTAGCAGTACATATAAGCAAAAAAAAAACGGAGGGTTTAGAACCCCTTTAAAGTTTTCCTCTGATGTATTCCGAGAAATGGATTTTACATTGAAACCAAGATCATGTTTTTGGTGCCCAGTTATCCGTTCGCTTTCTACTTTGAGGAGTGTGGAGGAGAAAAGTCTGTGTATCTAGTGGTTGGTTGTTTTTCTCCTGGGTACATCTAAGGGCAGCTGGTTGTATAGACATATAGTAATGAAGCTACTCCTTTATTGGCAGTGCTACTTCCAATGTTTTATGGTGCACGATATTTATGGAAATGTTTACTAAAAAGATTTATTTTTTTTTAAAACACAAAGTACCTGCTTTTTTGGTAAACACTGTGGCACTCAATGTCTATAAGCAACTTTTTCAAAGCTTTTACAACCCATCAATTTAGAGTAAACAGCCAATTAAGGCCCTAGAATAATTGCACTCATTCATGGTGATGCCTAAAGGTCCCCACACACCTTACGATAATCGTGGGAAATCCCGCGATCGTACGATTATTGTAAGGTGTGTGGAAGCCGTGCAACCTCTACTACTGTAACTATGTACGATGTTCGGTGGGTCTGTAGCGTGTTCGTAAGATAAAAGCCGGACGGGCCGGTGTGCGCAAGCGCACACTGCCCGTTCGGCATTGCGGTCATCGGAAGCCCGCCCCTCAGGGGGCGTGGCTTGCGATCATCGCAAGATAGGCAGATCGTACGTTTTTTTAAGTACCTTACAACCATCGCAAGACAAAAGTATTGCGATGGTTGTATGGTGTGTTGCCAGCCTAACAAGTGGCGCAATCACTGTTTACAAGTTAGGTCATAAATATTCCCATTATTGATTTTATGTTCAGTTTGAATTTTTTTTTCTTTGCAAAGCTGTTAGTAATAATTGTTGACTGAGATGATGCCGCCCGGAACTGCAAAATTTGGTCTGGTCATCAAGAATTCTGTTAAAGGGACCCAGGAAATGGTTTAACTGCAAGAATGTTGCTTATTTTCCAAACAGCCCTTTTTCTTTCTCTTATTTTGTAATTGTCTTCTTGATATGCTGATATTACAGAACTGATTTTCTCTTTATTTAACAGACTTGATAATACATGTATGAGTTTGGCTGATGATCTGTTGGAGGCTGTGAAGGTTGTCAGCGAGGAACAACTCTCTGCTCCATCTACTTTAAAAAGTCTAGAGGATATTTGGAGAGAGTACGACCTGGCACAAGAAATGATCCAGGCTTGCAAAGATGTGGTAATGGCTTTCTTTCCTTATAGGAGCCTGTTTGCAAGATTTTTACTTATATTATAGATATTTTCAATTAAAAATAAAACGAATATCATTATAAGCTATACTTGTGAAGACACTAATGAGCTGGGGAAATATTTCACCATATCTCCAGAAGTATGTTTTTGACTAATTAGTCTAGAACCTTGGTTTACAACTGGTGGGTCATGACCCAAAAGTGGGTCGCGACCCAGTGTTTGGTGGGTCCCCGTGTGACTTCCACTTTTTTAGGTGAGGGACTCCTCAGCCTCCCCCTAGCGCAACACTGTCAGTTCTTGCGAGAAGCAGCCATTGAAAATATGCTGCCCGACCCTACGTGTCAGCTTGGGGTGCGGTGGGCAGGAAGTACGGCCAAAAGGGAGCCCCATCCATACATTTATTGTTTACAGCTCCCTAACGTACCCTGCAGAGGGGCCTGAACTGCAGTGAGGTCACATTCTGGCTCCCAGCACCTCTACAGGGCATGTAAGGGAGCTAAACCAGCAATGCACATATAGATGGAGCTCCATCACAGCCAGGAGCCCACACTCGACCCCAGGCTGAGAATTCAATCCAGTTCTCCTAAGGTAGGGAGACTGCAAAAAAGGAGTGTGGGGGAGTGTGAGAGAATGTCTGAGTGTTTTGAGATTGTGTCAGTGTTTTTGAGGATCCATTCACACTAATACAGTGCAATAATCACACAGTTGCATGCAATTAATGCATTGTATCACGCAAACGCATCTACTGCATGTTCTGGTGTGGAAGGTGTTTTGCATTGCCATTAATGTAAGTGACACCCCAAACGCACCTCCCGCCCACAGTCCGATAGCCTGCACCTGAGTGCCTGGTACAGCATTGCAGTGCGACTTGGGTCGCGACTAAATGACCAAGGACAATTTTGGGTCCTGAGGTTACACAGGTTGAGAACCACTGGTCTAGAAGATAACTGGAGTAGGGCCTCATTGCATAAGTCTTTAAGCTCCAGCCGTGAATTTGTGCAGCAAGAATCTGTGGGCTCTTGCGACCGAAATTGAAGGTGATTCCGGACAGCTTAGCCTATATAAGCAGCTGGCATCCAGGGGTAGTTACCAGTTTCTATGCTTAGGTAATCACTCCATATGTGATTACATGCAAACATGGGTGAAGAGCGGTCAGCCTGTCATTGCTTTGAAAAGGCTGAGTGGCCACAGATGTCCAGAACCACCAGGGTTTCCTGCTTTAAAAAGGAACTTTACCCATATCTTCAAAATAACAACAATGGCACCTTTTAGAAATGTTAAGTAATGACAATCTACAAACAGATTTGTCTAGATAATTGCAGGCTTTTTATTTTTTGCATATATTTATTTTTTCTTTTCTTACCCAGTCTTCTTGCAATAGCCATTGTAACTAAGGGCAGGTTAGTCGATCTCCCTTTACTTCCTGGAACTCTGGCACATGTGACTAGGACATGTGACCATGCACATCTCGGAAGGAAAATGCCTTTCCCTGAGATCTCATGAGATTACAGAGATTTCCCAGCATTCCCAGAATGCAATGCTTGGGCACGATTAATCATTTGTGCCAAAGTGGACCAGGAAGTGGGGAAAAAAATTGGATGTAATATAAAAATGTTTAGCTAATGAATGTAAGATGATTTCATATCAGCATGCAGAGCTGTATGCTGATGTGATTTTTAGTCATAGGGGGTAAAGGTCCACTTTAAGAATCCACAGATTCTTGCTGCACTAATTCACAGCAAGGCCTGACATCCTTGTGTGAAAGACTTCAGTTTGGATATTATTTAAAAAGTCACAAAGTGAACATTGCTGAACCTTAAGGGCCATGTGTAGAAAAAAAGAAGAATTGGCTGAGGGGTTAAAATGGAAAGAAATTCTGTTAAGCCATGTAGAGTAAAGTCCCTTTTTCAGTTCCCACCTCTTTTTTAAAAAGTTTATGCTGGGTTCAACCCGCACGTGTCGTGGTTCCAGGTTGCAACTCCTACACAGCTTATCCTATGCCTCACAGTAGCACACAAAGAACAAATGGTAGTCGTGCAGCTACCGGTACCTTTTTTCTTTGTGTGCTACAGGCGAAAAATGGAGCAATTTAAGTTGAAGCCTATTTCACACACATACTTAGGCCCCGTTCACATTGCGCAATTAGCAAATCGTGCGATTTGCATTTTGCGCGATATCGCGGAAATGCTTGCATTGAGCAAGCGAGAATCGTGGCAAAATCCGCTCCTAAAAAGGGTCCTGCTGTAGCGACACACGACCCGTGACAGCAGGCCCCTTTGCCCCATTGAGATGCATTGAAGAGCGATATCGCGCGGTAAATAGCTGCGATATCGTGGGAATTACCGCGCGATAAATCGCTCAATGTGAACGGGGCCTTAATAAACACAGTGAAACAAATCTTTTATATGCTTTTCGTGCAGAAATTTGTATGCTATAGAGACATTGAATTTTAAGGCTAGGGGTCAGATTGCAAGATGGCAGTAGAACCATAAGAGGTTTTAGCTAGTGTCCTAGGAGGATGGATGTCTTTTCTTTAGGTCTGCTGTGTTAAAGACTAACCTATTTTTTTATGGCCTCCCTCCATATTTTTTTTCAATGAACACTCTTCTCTACATCACTGCTGGAGCTTTGTTCCTTTGCAGCTATCCAGTGCTGTTATTTAGAGTAATGCATCTTAGCCCTGCTGGACTGGACATTATGGGGAAAGCCTTGAGGCGCTGTATTCCGCATGGATCACTTCCCAGGCTTTGTTTCGGGCCCAGAGCCGCTGGCATTGCACCTCATTTACATGGGTTCCAGGGCACCTTTTATTCCCGCTTTCCACTTGTTTTGTTATGGAAAGCGTTTATGTTGTGGGACTGCTGGCAAACAGCCACACAGAACTTCGATCTTTGATCCATTTCTGCTGCCTGCCTACTTTGGTCACCATCCAACCCTCCCTTGCTACCAGCTGTTTACATTTCATGAGTAATGAGCTGTAGCTTGCGGTATACTGAGCTTAGGGTAACGGGAGGATGCTAGTTTGAGTCCTCCCGTAACCCTAAGGAGAACTATGGGGAAAAACACTGACCCCATAGTTCTCCTTTAAGCCTATATGTTGCCTTACTGCCAAGCGGTCACATCCTGTCTGACTCTACCAGCCAACTTTCTTTTATGCTTGCAGTTCACCTGCTGGAGGTGCGAACATCTGCAGCCTGGATTCAGGTCGCACTCTTCTTTTATAGTATGTTCCAGCCTCAGAGTCCTCATCAGCTCCTTTTTTAGGGCAGGAATCCGGCCACACCTTTCAACTGAAGTCTCTACCAGAGTTGTGCAATACTTAATGGCTCAAGTTACCCAGTCCACAAGCACATTCTCTTGCCGGTTTTGTATCTTGTGTATTTAGTCATTGACTGATAAACTAACATCTGAGGAGGTAGCCCCACTGCAAGAGTTAGTTTTGCAATTCCTGGAGTACCTCTTTAACTGACCAGACATTACAGCAGTTTGGATGAATCCTGATCTTTCAGAAATGGTCTCTTCAACCAATTTATCATTTAGAGTATCTGGGTCTAATCCTGGACACGGCTCTGGCCTGAGTGTTCTTCCACATGAGAAACTTAAGACTCTCCAGTCTCAGGTTTGAACTCTGAAGTTCAGTAGTTTTCCAACTCTCCGCTTTTGCATAAGAGTCCTAGGTCTGATAGTAGCCTCTTCCTGGGCTGTTCCATACATCTACAATGCAATATTCTCTCATGGTTGAAAAGGAAGATCTGCTTTCAGAACCGATCGATTTGTCTTGTGCCAAGGACCAGGTTGTTCATTGCTTGCTAACTCAGGATTCAGGCTCTGGGATTGGTGAAGACCTTACCACCTGTCTTTTGGAGGATCCTCAGAATATATGCCTACCTGTCGGGCTGGGGAGAAATCCTGGGCTCCCTGTTGGTTCAGGAAACTTGTTTTTTTGGAGGAGTCTCCTCTTTTATTCAACACCCTGGAACTTAGGTTGATTTGGCTGTCTCTACAGCGTTGAACCGTCTTTGTGGTGGTTCATCCAAACCAGATTTAGATGGACAATGCCACAGGATTGGCGTACAGCAATCATCGTGGAGTAACCAGAAGCTCACTGTGGCAAGAAAGGTAAATTGCATCCTGTCCTTGGCAGCACTTCATGTTTTTTAGCCTTTTTCTTTCCAGGTGTAGACAATTGGCAGGCAGATTTCCTGGATCCAGGAGAATGGTCTTTAGACCTGGATGTGTTCCAGGACCTGTGCCACAGGTGGACAATACTGGTTTTGGACCTTCTAGACCCCAGGTTCAACATCAAACTGGACAGGTTTTTCTCCAGGTACAGGGATCCTCTTGTGAAAGAAGTGGATGCTCTGGTGATTCCGTGGGATCATTATTCCCTGATCTATGCCTTTTCTTCCTTGTCTGCTTTGCAGGATTGTGATGGAGAGGTTTCCGGTGATCTTCTTTGGTCAGGGACTGGCCCAGTCTGGTGAGACTCCTTGCACATGCTTTGTAGGCTCTTCCAGATCATCAGGATCTTTTGTCACAAAAGATTTACCATCCTCATTCATGGCAACTGGCTTTAATGGCATGCCCGTTGAAGCCCTGTTTTTTAGATACTGGAATCTCTGAAATTGTGATTCCTACAATGCCAAAGACTAGAAAGTCTGTTACTGTGAAAAATGAGGTTTCATGATCCCAAACTGAGTGACAGGAGAAGTTTTGTTGCACACACTGCCATCCTCTCAGGTTTAATCAAGCAGAACCGGTTAAACCGTACTTGTCAATGGTCTGCAAAGCCTCAAAAGACTTCAAATTATGCCATGTTGTAAATGGCTGTCCTAAACAGCGTTAACCCATGTCGTGGAATGCCAGGACTTTTAATAAAGCTCTATAAAAATCGACATTAAAACATTTAAGGAATGGTTGAAAGAAATGTACATCCTTGTCCGATAGAGAGATTTCTCTCTCCATCTATATATCCTCTAAATCCTTCTATGACCACACTAAGTGAAGAGCATGTCTGTGCTGTAATGTCCAGAGGATGGATTGGTCATGTTGCATCTCCTAGGCAATGTGTGATCTGTGTCAACTAATTTTTATTCTGTGCAATAATATGCTGGTTGTGAAAGTGTAAAACATGACCATCTGGATATAGTAATGCATTTAGAAAATATGGCCTTGAGGGAGTGTCCACTGAAAATAGATTGCTGTCCCACAAGCTGGTAAAATCTCTGCACAGGGTGAGGATGAGTGCCATTGTCTCATTCTGGTGGCAGCAGCGGGATCATTGGACATGGAAGGCATGCTTCACTTAGGGTGGAAGCCCAGACTCTCCTGTCAACACCACTATAAATGGTCAGGTTTATGTCCTTTCTATCTTGTTTGAGGCCTTTCACTCCTTGATTAAGACCTTTTGTACATGGAGTTTTTCATGCAGCCCGACTGTTAGTGCCCGTGAGATCTGAATCTTGTTCTCTCTGCACTTCAAAAATGCCCGTTCACTCCATTCCTCTCTACTACCATCCAGAAATTGGTATCCCTTGTGGCCATCACCTTTTGTGAGGTGACTGTCTGAACTAGCAGCTTTATCCTCCAAGAAACCCTTTTTGGTTTTGCATAGAGAAAAGGTGGTTTGGAGGCCCGGGTCTTCTTTCTTTCCCAAGGTAGTTTCTTACTTTCCCCTTCACCAGGAAATGGGTTTTTCTGCCCCTCTGTCAGGTTCCATTTCACCAAGAGGAAATTTCCTTCCGTTGTATGGACGTGACTCAGACTGTGAGTCTTTCTTTCTTTCTTTCTTTCTTTCTTTCTTTTTTTTTTTTTTAACATGCAGTTAAATCTTTTCCTCAGCGTCCATTGAGGGACACAGGTCGCATCCCACTCTCACCCCTGTGTGTCTATGATGATGCTCTTGGTGCCGATTTGCTATAGAACGGAGTCTTTCTGGTACTAGGAGGGGTCATCTCAGGCTAGCTTACATTTTTTTTTGTCTGTGTCCTATCCTCTTGTAAGCAGCAATATAACCCGAAGGCAACAAAATTTAGTGTCTCTGTGGACTCCAAGAAAATGATATTACGGCTAGCACAAAAATCCTATATTTTTAGCTCTTGAGCACTGCGGCACGACTGGCTCCTTGTGCGGCTTCTCCCTCACCCAGTGTGTACAATTGCAAAAGGCTGGTATCAAATGAAAGTCACGTACTTACACTGTATGCATTAAATACAAATCAATACATTATGTATTGATGACTACATAGCTACATTAATTTGGTTCATGTTTTAAGGCTGAAAAAGCACTGGAATCTGTTTGGTAATAACTGGTGCATTGTTGTCAGCCATTAGCAATCCGGTTATAGCCACTTTCACGAAGATCTGTACTTAGGGACATCTATAAATAGGTGAAAAGAAAATGGTGATGCTTTTGTTAAAATTATTTTGTGACTGAATTTAAAAAAAATGATATTTCAAGGATAAAAGCTAATTTTAGTACTGTGCTTTTTTTTTTACATGTTGTTTGTTCTCAGGTAGAGTTAGACCTACTTATAGACAAACGGAACAAAATCCAGGAAACCCTAAATTCTTCAGTTGATGACTTCATTGTTGAGGTTGAGCAACTGCCACTAGATGAACATCTGACAAAGCTGCAGGTATGAATGTGAAACGTCCCCTACTCTTGTATGGGGTGGCACAGCATGGCATCTTTGTATGCACGCCAAGGTGTTGTCCCTTTTTGGACATGAAGGGTTCTATTTATAAAGGCTTTCACACAACTTTCACCTATGATTCACAAATTTTTCTAGTGGAATCCTATTAGAAAATTGTGTAAATTATGAGTGAGTGGTGAAGAGTTTGGAGAAGGCAGGAGAAGTGAACCATCTAGGCCAAAAAAGCTGAACTGGAAATTGAGCTGAAGTGTTGAGTTTATCCAAATCAGCTATGTTGTCCTAGATTGTTCACTTCTCCTGCCTTCTCCAAACCCTTGACCCTTTAGCGAATAGACCTGTAATTGTTCCTTGTGGGTAATACCATTGCACCAAGATTTGCCTCTAATCTTTGCTTATTCTGCATGTTTGAGCTATTTGTGTTGTTTTTTATCTCTCGTTTCCTGACTTATTTTTAACTCTTTTGCTTCAACGGGCATAAGTACTATGTCCATGGAAGCAGGGAGCTGTAAGCATATTCCTGGCTGTTAAAACACCAGGAGTGTGTTTACACTCCCTCAGCCAACTGTTGGCTTTCATGTAAAAGTCGTTTAGATCGCCATAAAACTGCTAGATCGCTTTCACAGTCTTCCCCACCCCTCTCCATTGACTGATCTTTCCTCTGCTGAATGAACCTGGAAGCATCGATTTTGTTACTTCTGGGTTCTGTGCTGTCATTTCCCCAGCCACGGAGGCCAGGGAAGAAGCTGATCAAGCACAACCTGTGTTTTATCAGCTTCATTGAACTGTTATTAGCCCCCTATGTGATAGTTCAAGCTGCATTGACACCTAGGTGTCAGTGTTTTTGCGTATGGTTTTTGCCTAGCGTGTTTTTGCAGTGTGTTGCAGATTTTTACGTGCATTAGAGACGAGCACATGAAGATGCAAGTTTTGACTGGCAAATCGAAACCATTGCAGACAATGGGGAAACGCATGTAAAAACGCGGATACAAATATGGGTTGCTCGTTTTATAGGTTTCTCTATTGCAGTCTATAGGGCCAAAGGCACACAAAAATGCCCCGAAAAAACTCAAACTTTTTTGAGTGGCAGGCGTTTTGCAGCTTGCGACAAAACACCTAGGTGTAAATGGGGGGACATTTAAATTAATGGGAATTTAGGTGCTGTGCATTTTGTCGCACATATTAATCGCCTAGGTGTGAATGGGGGGCCTAAATGGTAAAATTTTTTTTTTTTTAAAAGCCCTGTTGGGTGCATCTACCTATGAAAACGATTGTGCCACATGTTGGGAATTGCCACGCACACTGGAGTGAGAGCAGTATTTTTAGGGCCATTATTCACTGCTAACTTTAAATTGATGACCAGGCTTTTTAATGTGTCTCCTATGGTCAATCTGCGGTTACCCAAGTTTTTCACTATTTCATGGGGCCTGCAATTTTGAAGCTTGACATGTTTGAGATCTATTCACTTGACACAACCTCATCTTTTAAATTGTACCAGAAAATTTGTTTTTTTTTTGTTTTTTTTATTGTGCTTGTGTGCACTAAAATAAATTTGATTGCATTTTGAAAATTTGGGTTTGAAAAACTGTTCCGCTATTATTGTGTGACATAAAAATTGCAACTGCTGTTCATGACAGACAGGCGCCAGATGGGACAAGGAGACTTCTAAATATCGTTCGACATATAGAAATTCACCACACTCCTTTACGTCTATCTCCTAGATGCTGAAAAAGCGTTTGATCGGATCCATTGGGGTTATCTGAGTGCAGTCCTTCAGAAATTTGGATTTCTGGGTGTGATCCGTACGGCAATCCTCTCCCTTTACTCATCACCTAGCGCTAGGGTCCTTTCTTCAGGCCATCTATCTGACCCATTCTCTCTCACAAATGGTACAAGACAGGGATGCCCACTTTCTCCAATTATATTCGTACTGTTGATGGAACCTCATCTTTAGCTCATCTTATTCGTACAGACCCTGATATCTCAGGGATCTCGATAGGCCCCATTAATCACAAAATTGGCCTCTTTGCCGACGATGTCATACTAATCCTCACATCTCCCCATAGGTCACTACCAGCTACATATTCTCTTATCTAAATTTAGTGAGGTTTCCTACTATAAACTCAACACTACTAAATCACAAATCCTGGACTTTCATATTCCCACTCCTCTTAAAACCCGACTTACATCCCAGTTTCAATTCTCCTGGATGTCGACCTCGATTCCATACTTGGGTATCCAAATTCCCAAAAGGTCGTCCAATTGTTTTACCTTTCATTACAAACCTCTCCTTCAACAGCTCCCTGTAGACCTTAATAACCTGTATCTCTCTCCATCAGGCAGGATTGCAGCATTCAAAATGTTAATTCTACCCAAAATATATGTTTTTTGGACCGTGCCTTTTTAATTCCACCCACTTCCTTCAAGACCCTCCACCACCAACTTCTACACTTTATTTGGCGTGGGAAGTCTCCAAGATGTGCAGCTACTCTCCTTTACAAAAATAAAAAGGCTGGGGGATTGGCATTCCCTAACCTGCTCCATTACCATAAAGCAACCCTCTTGGACCAAATTCAACACTGGTGTAAACCTTCCCCTAATAAGCTCTGGGCCCAAATGGAACTTACCTTATTACGGGCGGAATGCTCCATTGATATCTTACTGTCTCATAAATTCCACACGGCTGTGCAGGAACCTCCATACCAATCGATTAGAGCGTCCCTTACAGTTTGGAGAGCTCTTCCACTTACATTCATGTCTACTACATCTACACTAAACCTCTATACCCCTATCACAATTCTCCACCGCATTATCCCCCACATAAATCTGAAGAGCTGGATGAGACTGGGCATTAACCACCTAGCTGACCTCTATGCTCACAATACATTGAAATCTATGAAACATCTAACTGATCAATATAAACTCCCTATGACCGAATACCATTGCTACTTTCAAATTACACATCTACTCCGTAAGCAGCACATTCCATCTATTGTTCCAATTGACCGAAAACTATACAAATTTCTGGGTAGTCCTCAACGGTCTCTAGGGGGCATTGCGTTATTCTATGCTTATTTAGGGGATAATAACTTATTTTCCAAGTCTCCTCAGATGATAAAATGGGAATGTGAATTGAGTACTACCATCTCCACATCTCAATGGCAGAAAGCCTTTCAGGTATCCTACAAGACATCTTTATGTGCAAACCACTGGGAACTTTATTACAAAATAGTTAACAGATGGTATCTTACACCCTACAAATTATCAAAATTTTCAATTCAAAATTCCCCACTATGTTGGAGAATGTGTGGAGAGGTGGGTTCCTTAGCTCACGTTTTTTGGCACTGCAAATCACTCCGATCCTATTGGAATCAGGTTTTCCATCTTATTTCACAGTTCACAACCACTCCGGTCACACCATCTATTACTCTGGCACTTCTACACATCGATCTGGATACCTTCCCTATTTCCTCTAGAACAATCATTTCACACATACTTTATGCTGCTGTCCTATTGATTGCACGTAAGTGGCGCACCTCTTCCCCTCCAAATGTCTCGGAAGTTGTCGGTCTAACCAATCTCCAATGCTCTTATGAACGCGCATTCTCCTATATAAATCATAGATACTCTACGTTTTGTCGGTACTGGGAAAAATGGCTCCTCAAGCCCTTCTGTGCATTGTGACCTCATTGAGTTTGCTTGTTTGGTTTCACATTCATACTGACTCTTTAATTGATGCACACATATAATCCCACCCTCCCCTCCTTTACCCTTACCTTCCTCCCCCCCTCTTTATGATGTTTATTATAGTTGCATTTCTGCAGATCATATAGAACGCCAGCCTTGTGTTTCATACCTTGTAATTCTTTATACTCTTGACCTGTTTTGTTGAAACACATGTTATAGCTGTACAAGTAATATTACTACGTGTCATTGTATCTGCACACTGGCTACTTTGTTGTTCGAACTACTACAAAATTCAATAAAGATATATTGTTTAAAAATTGCAACTGCCACCATTTTATTCTAAAAGGTGTCTGCTAAAATATATAATTGTGTGGGGCTTATCAAATTAACATTTTCAGGCGTAAAATGTGCATTTTAACAGGTCCAAAAACAGCTCTGCCGGCCAATGGTAGCGCTTCATTCCTGAATAGCATACGGTTTCATTTTTATTTATGATTTTGTCACTTTGCAGTCTTGATTTGCAAGCCATGGTGATACCCTGACCTAGATTTCTTCCACTATGGAGCACCTATTGTTGCCTAGAACAGGCATCTCTGCCATATAGCCAGTCCTTTTTCATTTTGGTTACTGTCCATTTAAGTTATTGCTCTACATTTTCAGTAATTGCTCAGTTCATTTCTGCACCTACTGCTTTTAGGGCTTGTGTGCCTACATATCCGATCATGTCAAAACTTTTTTTTTTCCCCCCATACCAAGCCATAGGAATGCAAAAAAGCACCTTGATGTAGTTTTAGGTCAGAAGCTCCTTCAAAAGATCTCGGAAACCGATCGTACTAAAATCAAATGCATGTTTAATGCATGTGAAAGTCTGTTGCATTTTCCCATTTAAACAAAAGCTTGGTCTGCTGTTCTTAGCCATCTTGGTTGCCATAAGAAAACAAGATAATTAAGGTTTCTTTTGCCTGCAAGTCCTTCGTGCTCCGGGATGGGGAAATTGTGCCCACTACTCAAAATATACACTTCCAATTCATATATGTAAAGTGTTGCTTCTAGGACTTCTAGATTCTTAAAAATCTGCTTTCATTACAAAAGCCATAAAGAAAAACTAAAACCTGACTGGTTTCATATCAATGCAGTTTGTTTTTATGTAATGTATGATGACCAAACTCAGAAGAAAGAAGTATGCCTTGTTTAATTCAATTTTGTAAACTTGTTTTTTCTTTTGCAAAGATGCTATCGGATTCTCTAGAAACTCTATACGGAACCTCTGTTGATTGTGAGGTTTCAGATTCCGTGTTTCAAGAATTTTATGATTGGAAAGAAGCAAGATTGTTGACCTTTAACACCGTGAGGAATGACACCAATAGTTCTCTTGCCGTTCTCTGCACATGGTTCTCTGATGTAAAACAGGTATAACACTGGCTGGTTTCGTAGTCTCTGTGTCTAAGGCAGGGTTTTCCAAAATATGAGTATTACTATTGTTACAATGCATAGCAGCTGGTAGAAAGCAGATTGTATAGAACACAAAGGACAAACAATTCAGGTTTATTTTCTTTTGCAATACCTCCTTATAGGGCAGGTGAAACCTGATCTTGTTTTTAACCCTTTTATGACCACACTAGTTATTACTGCAAATGTAAAATGCTTCTTGCAATGAGAAGGTTAATTTAACCATGCAGCACAGAGCTAGGAATGTGCAACTGTGTGTGTTCCTAGTTCCCATAGTCACTGTCGATCAGAAAAAGTAGCGCTAGGGTTATTGTCAAGTTAACTGATTCACACCAATGCTGCTAAACTTGGTCTGGGTGTTGAGCTTAAAAAAAAAATCCCTCTGGTTGTTTTAGAGACTGCAACATCTGTGAATCTCTCTGAAGGCAGATGTGCATACCTTGTTTCTTTTTAACCCTTTCGCTGCCAAGCCCTCGAACATTTTTCAAATCAGCTGGCCAAGCCATTTTTGAATTTTCTGCAATTTTTTCCTATTGATTTGATTTTCAACTGCTGCGTTGCTAGCGTTTGTAAAAGACCCCCCAAACCATATATTTTCTGAAAGCGCAGGCCCGGTAGAATAAAAAGATGGTGATACTAAATTTGTAGGCCCTGCGATAATTGCGCAAATGTTTCTCAAATTAATATTAAACCGATAAAAATACACAATTCAATTGTTAAAACACACCAAAATCAGTATCCGTGCACAAAAAAAAATATTTTTTGACTAAATCTAAAAGATAAAACTGTATTGAGTTAATAAATAACAAATATTAGCAAATTTGTAATTGCGCCTTTTTGCGAAAAGGTAAAAAAATGAAGGAAGGGACAGGTTAGAGACTCTGTAAATTTTTAAGGTGGCAGTATTACAAGATATAGCTAAAATTATATTGCACCTAAAGTGTAGGTAAGGTGATATGCGTAAACTGCAAAAACTGGCCTTCATTTTTGTATGGCATGATTACACTGGCACTCATCCATTGTATATGCCATAGAATATGACCTGATTGAAGAATGACAACTGCTAAACTCTTAAAAGTAATACCGTATAAGCCGAGTTTTTCAGCCCATTTTTTTTGCTGAAAAGTGCCCCCCTCGGCTTATACTCGAGTCGGCGTCTCGAGCTGGTCAGGTTTCTTCTTACTTACCTCGCCGAGCAATTCTGTCAGCAATATGAGTATATTGACCTAGTTGTGTTTTTACTGTTTTAATCTGCTAGTTACATAAAAATCTAAGAACAATTACTGTTGGCCGTTCCTTTTTGCCTTTAGCTTTTTGATTTGGCGTCAACTGCATCCCTGGGCTCTTCTGACAATGTGGTGGTTATTGATAGCATTATAGAAAAGGTGGACACTGATGTTTCAAAGGAGTTGGAAGTCTCACTCAAGGTATGTACATGAAGATCATGTTTATGTACATTTACGTATTCCTTAATTTGTTTTTATTTTTGTGTATTAAAAGCAGCTTTATGTAGATTTGTTTGTGATGACATGTTCCATTGGAATGAGCTAAGCGAACAAAAAAAAGTAATTGCATTTTTTTAAATGCAGGGACCCAATCAAAGAGAACAAGAAATAATAACAACCACGTACAACAATGTTGTAAAGCAGCTCAAAGAAGAGATTTGTCTTATTGATGTCATCAAATCAAAGTATTTATCCAGTGTTGAAGTAAGTATTGTTGTTAGGTTGCACTCAGAACATTTAAGCTGGAGTGGACTTGGATTATCCAGAACAAAAAAAGCACAAAAATCAGATTCATATGGGCAAAATGTTGACCTTTACTCCAGTTTTCCCAAAGTAATTTTCCAGGACAGCATATAAGAGAGACTGCGCCCACCAAAAAACAGGCAACTCCTAATCTGCCATTAGAAAAGTGCCTTCACGCTAGTTACAGGGGCTTTCCAGATTATGCTCCCATTTTCCCTCAGGGATAGCGGACCCTGATGGGTAGCATGGCTGGGTCCTTTCACACTTGGGATCCCCCACCTCATTTTTAAGGCCTCAAGGTTTCTTCACTGGAGGCGGAGCAACCATTCTAGCTGGATTTGTGGAGCTCTCCCTCCGACATGTTGCTCAGGATCCCTGCCTAGCAGACTTTGTACTTGCTTGCCTTCTATACTTTCCTCTACCTTGTGCCAGTCCACCCACCCCGCAATGGAGGGAGAAGGACCCTGTGGGTCTCAAAGGCACGCCTTGCGCGTTGGTGCACATGGCCTATGAGAGCACTGCGCCATGCATCCAGCTTTGCCGGCTTCTTCTGGGATCTGTAGCAGTCCTGCCCCCATGGTGGCTTAGTTCCAGTAACCTCTTTCCGACACCTGGGTATGATGCAGTTCTGGCATCCCTTGGGGGAGGGTTTGGGCATGCAGCGAAAAGAGGAGACCATGTCTAAGCACTAGTATCCCCCAGCAGCAAGCATGGTGGATGCCTATGGTTAAGATCTTTTATATGCAGTGTGATGCAGCTGTGTCTACTGCCTGTACAGATCTAGCTGATCAAGGCAACTTCCACTCCCATGGTAGTTGGGAGCAGTAGGCTCTCCTTCCTTCCTTATTCCTTACTGTGGGTGGGCAAACACAGTGAATTCTCCTCAAGGAGGGGTGTTACTGTTCCCCAGAATATAAAAACAATCATTCCGGGTTGGCCCAGTCTAGGAGCAAAATATGCACATGTTGTAATGCTAAATTGACAGCTTATTGGTCAAAACCATTGTTGGTTCTCAGTGGAATCATCAGGATTGTTTAATGGCCTTGCCATTTCTGCAGGAAGACAGGTCGGCAACTCTTCAATCTTTATGTCCATTACAACAAGATTTTAGTCCGTAGTAAGCAAGCCCTGTGATCACACCTCTGTCCCTGTTTTGCTACTGCTGCTCCTTTTCATTTAGCTAAAGAGCTGGGTAGTTTGAGGGAGACAAAGGAGGCCCTATTCTCATCCTTTGATTTGGAAGAAGAGTAATTCAGGGAGGTTGATATAGAGGGGATGAGTTCTAAATTCCTGTTGCTTTCAAAAGGAACAGCTGAGCTTCTAACAGCTGTCTCAAACCTTAAAGGGTTCATGGAAGAAGCTTCAGTCCACGAAAGGATGTACAGGGGTCTTCTAGGCAGAAAGGGCTTACATTTTCAGTTCACACTCGAGGACATAATAAAAAGTAAATAGCAGAACTAGGTTTTTTTTCCCATTTAACCTCTAAGTGTAGATCTTTGTTTGCGTAGGAACATTTGAAACTCTGATAAATGACCTAAACTAGGTAAGATATTGAAAAACATGGCCCTTTTGTTTTAGGATATGGGAGCACTAAAAGAGCAGATGAAAAAAAAACTAAAAAACAGAGGCTCTTAGAAAAGCTTGGGAAGCCAGATCAACAAACTTTTTAAACCAACACTGGCCGAAACCAGTGCAGCAAGACAGCTGCACTCCCGTTTGGAATCAGGAACCAAAATATTTTGGTTCTGTCAAAAGTTCTGTTGCAAGCATTGCAAATGCCTTGGCAGTCAATTACGTTTTCAACCTCTATCAAGGCACTTGTAAATGCCTCTAGGCAAGCTCCGGCGTTGCAGGGGGGCAGAACCGGCGGGAAATTCAAAAGTAAAATATAGAAGGAGAGAAAATACTGAGATAATCAGACCGCCAGGGAGGTTAAAGCTCATCAGCAACTATCTAAATTGGTTTTCCTGATCAGCAACTGTGGCACTTATAAGCAGCTACTTGGATTGGTTTTCTTCCAACCAAGGTGGTGTAATGTGCTCAGGAAATGGATCCTGTATGGACACTCACTGTCGGGTCCCGGTCCAAGTGGCTCCAGGTCAGGTCACGTTCCGGGTGGCTCGGCGGCCATGTCGGGTTCCGATCAGAGCCGCTGTGCGGGGGCGCACACGAAGGGGGCATTCCGTCAGCATCACTAGGCCGCACAGGCGCAGATGCCCTGTGACCCCTGTGTCATTATCCCTGACATTCCTGGAGCACTACCTGTATGTGCAGTTTCTAGCATATCAAAGTGACCAGGAAGACATTTGATGTTAAGCCAACTGTTATCTGCCTTCAGTACCATCAAGGGACCAATGTCTGTCTTGACTAGTCTTTTTCCAGATGCCCCCTGCCTCTCACTCTTTAGTGAAGGCCTTTATGCAGGTGTCACGCTTGTTCCACCTACACACTCTGGTGTCTCTGTGGACTTAGCTTTGTCAGCACAGGCCACCCTTTGAACCTTTGGTTGAAATCCCGTTGGCCTTATTCTCTCGCATGGTGGCCTTCCTCGTAGCCATCATTTCTGCCAGGCCTGTTTCTGATTGGCAGCCTTGCCTAGGGTCTAATTCCATTCTAAGGTGCTCGGTTCCTTCCACATTAACCAGGATATTGTCCTACCATTCTTATGTCCTGCTCCTGAAGAAATTTCTCTTCACTGTTAGACATGGTTCAGGCCTGTTTAGCTCTTTACTACTACTTCCATCCACAAGGCATTCTACTGCTTCATAATTCCTGGAGATCCCTATATGGAGCAGTTGGCTTCTCATTCCACTATTGGTGGGTAGATTTTGTGAATTATCACTCAGGCCTCCCTTTGGTGGAGTGTTATGCATGTCTGTGTTTATGATCAAGCTCTCTGTAATGATTTGCTACAAAACTGGGGCATTCTGTTGGCTGGACTATTTTTTTGTTTGCCAGTCCAATCTTCCTGTAGGCAGCATTATAACCCAAAGCTGAAAGACTTCCTGTGTCGCTCAGTGGGCTCCAAGAAAAGGATTTATGGTGGGTGCAAAAATCCTTTTGCTGTACTCTGTTTATAATGTGACAAAGCAATGGGAAATTTGTTTTTCTCAAACATAGATTTAACTTTGTAAGAATATTTTCAGCATTTTGTGCACAAATGTGTTTCGTTTTTGGCTTTTTTAATTGAATATGAAATGTTTAACTCTTTTCATAAACATTTGATTTGTAAATTGTTTTACAGTTCAAAAAGAATATTGTACAGTGGGTCAATACGAATCCTAATGTAGATGGTTTAATGGCATTTAAGAAGACAATTAAACGACTAAAAAGTCAGCTGAGGTGGAAACTGCTAGAAAGTAGCAACATGGAAGAGGTATTGAATAATTTTTTATGATATACATGTAAAATAGAACAACTTGATCAATTTTTCCTTTTTCTTTTTTTTTTATTTCCCTTGCCTGCCAATAAGGGGATTCACACTTTGCACAAATATGTCATGCAATGCATGGGGTACTAGTGCAGTTGATAAAATGTATTTTTCTTTATATATCACTAAAGTGCCTTTTTATAAAAAAACCTCAAACAATCAAGATGCCATTTCCCCCAATAAATCTGAAACTACATGAAACATGTTGTCCTGTGCTTTCTCATGATGCTAACTTGTTTTGTAGTCAGATGAATACAACAAAACTGTCCACAGTGAATTGAAACTTGACATCGCTGGGCTAAGGAATAAGATATTTTATGAAATACAACATGAACAAGAAGAATATGTGAGTTATATTTTATTCTACTAACTTAATGGCTAAATCTACCAAAATCTGTATATCAAAATCTCCCTTTTCATTGTTTCCTGCCAGTCTGTTCTTTTGGCAGTCTTTTTTTTCCTTTTTAGCAGCGAAAATAAATACAATTTGGGAGTTTTCAGAATTAAACATATTTTCAGTTTGACTATTGCCTCTTTTGCTACTGCAACACTGCGTATTATGGCGTGGCAGTATCAGGATGTAAACAATCTCGTAGCTGCCATGATTTGTTTACATTTTAAAGAAATTGGTTCAGGTTCTTTAATTGAAGGCTGTAAAGCCACCCAATCACTTCTACATGTACATCCTCCCATCTGAGCCCTGAAGCAATCTGCTTTGAGCACTTTTGAGGTTTTAGAACGGTCAAGCAACTGTTCATGTAGGGGCAACCAAGGAATCACTGCGCAGCTGAGAGGAATGATTCTATGACCAGTATTTTTGGTTAAAGGAAAATATGGAATGAGTGAAATGCACTCATCCCATTAAAGGAGAACTATGAGGTGAGTGCTTTTCACTCACCTCATAGTTCTAGCTAGGGATGTCCCGATGCCACTTTTTCAGGCCCAAGTACTTCCCCTCATGTACTTGCTGATACCAATAACAGATACTTTTTCTTAAAGGGACCGGTGACTTTAAATGATCCATAGTACCACTATATATTATGTACTATGGATCATGATTTAACCTATTCATGTTAGCAGGGGAGAATTGTAAATCTATTGTTGCAGTGCATTCTATATGTAGTATATAGTACATGTACCTATAGAGTGCACTGCAACAATAGATTTACAATTATCCTCCGCTAACATGAATGGATTAAATGATCCCTAGTACATGGCTACATACATATCATTTAATCCATTCATGTAGAGCTGCAGCTAACGATTATTTTCAAAATCGATTAGTTAGCCGATTATTGAGTTCGATTAATCGGATAAACAATAAAATACATTTTAAAAAATGGCTCCAGTGATGGCCTACTAGTTTGTATCGAGTATCGTATGCTTCTGAGATCGGGCCTGTCTATCGGCGGCTGTCATCCCCCCACACCTGCTCCTCCTTACTACACCTCCCTGTGTCCCTGTGCGAATCGTGGATGTGGGCGGGCGGTGAGTGTGAGGCGGGAAGGAGGTGCAGCGTGTAGAGCGCGGATGCGGGCGGGTCTGGCAGCGGTGGGCGCGAGTTGGGGAGGAGGCGCGGCGCGCAGCGTTTGTGGACCCGTGAACAGGGCCAACTGATCGGAAGCCGATTAATCGATTATTGAAAAAGTTGACAACTTTTTCAATAATCGATTATAATCGA